TAGTCTGAGCGCACTATTCAAATATATGAGGATATGCTACGCATGTGTGTCATTGATTTTAGGGGTTCATGGGACCAGTTTCTGCCACTCGCGTAGTTTGCTTACAACAATAGCTATTAGTCGAGGATTCAGACAGCCCCGTATGAGGCATTGTATGGGAGACAGTGTAGATCTCCGGTAGGTTGGTTTGCACCGGGTGAGACTAGGCTATTGGGTACTGACTTGGTTCAGGATGCATTTGACAAGGTTAAATTGATTCAGGAGTGGCTTCACACGACATAGTCTAGGCTGAAGATTTATGCCGGTAGGAAGGTGCGTGATGTGTCTTACATGGTTGGTTAGAAGGTATTGCTGAAGGTTTCACCCATGGAGGGTGTTATGAGGTTCGGAAAGAAGGGCAAGTTTAGCCCTCGGTTTGTTGGCCCGTTTTAGGTACTTTAGAGGATTGGGGAGGTGGCTTACAAGCTTGCCTTTCCACCTAGTTTGTCGAGTGTGCATCCAGTATTTCATGTTTCTATGCTCTGGAAGTATATCGGCGATCTGTCTCACGTTTTGGACTTTAGCACGGTTCAGTTGGATAGTGATTTGACTTAAGATGTGGAGCCGGTGGCCATTTTAGATCGGCAAGTTTGAAAGTTGAGGTCAAAGGATATAGCTTCAGTGAAGGTGCAGTGGAGAGGTCAGCCCATGGAAGAGGCTACTTAGGAGACAGAGCGGGAGATGCGGAGCAGATATCCACACCTATTTGTAACTCAAGGTATGTTTCTAGACCCGATCGAGGATGAACGTTTGTTTAAGAGGGGGAGGATGTAACGACCCAGCCAGTCGTTTCGAGAGTTGTAGCCCCTTTCCCCCATTTTTTAATCCTTTTGTGCTCTACAACTGTTATATTACTTACTGGATTGGTTGGTTCGGGTCTGAAGAGATTTCAGAGTGAATTAAGACACTTAGTTTCTTAATTGAAATCTTAAGTTGGAAAAGTTGTCTGGATGTTGACTTATGTGTATACGTCCTCGGGTTTAAATTTTTTATGGTTCCGTTAGCTCCGTTGGATGATTCTGGACTTAGAAGCGTGTTCTGATTTGGCGGTCCATAGAAGAATTAGACTTGAAATGGCGAAAGTTGGAATTTTGAAAAGTTTGACAGGGAGTGAACTTTTTGACATCGAGGTCGTATTGGATTTTCAGAAGTTGGAGTAGTTTCGTAATGTCTTTTGTGACTTGCGTCCAAAATTTGAGATCAATCGAACGTGATTTGATAGGTTTTGACGTCGTTTGTAGAATATGGAAATTCCAAATTTCATTAGGCTTGAATTTGTGTGCAATTCGTGTTTTTGATGTTGTTTGAGGCTATTTGAGGGTTCGACTAAGTTCGTATGATGTTTTGGAACTTGATGGTATGTTGGGTTAAGGTCTCGAGGGCCTCGGGTTTATTTCGGGTAGTTAACGGATAAAGTTTTGAACTTAAAGAATTGCTGAAGATTTGCAGCTATTGGTGTAATCGCACCTGCGGAGTGGGCAACGCAGGTGCGAGCTGGGAGGCGCAGAAGCGAAGTTTGGACTGTGGAGCGCAGATACAGAATTTGGAGCGTTGATTTTGGGGGTTTGAGTGGTGAAGTGATGTCAGATTTTTATAAATTTGGTATGGTTAGTGAGTGAATGAGCTTTTGATTTTTGTAACTTTTGGCCAGATTTCGAGACGTGGGCTCGATCCCGGGTTTTGCCCAAATATTGGATTTTGGCTTGTAATTTTGTATATTTCTTGTGGAATTAATTTCTTTAGCCCGTATTGATTGTATTGTACTACTTGTGACTAGATTAAGGATATTTGGAGGCCGACTTGCGAGGCAAAGGCATATTGGAGTAGCATTTTGCTCGGATCGATGTAAGTAATAGTTCTAAATATTGTTTTGAGGGTATGAAACTCCGGATTATGCGTGATGTGATTGTTTTGGAGGTGACGCACATGCTAGGTTACGGGCGTGCGGGCGTGCACCGTGGGAATTGTGACTTGGTCCATTCCGTGGAACTGTAAAGTTGAATAACTTGTTATTAGCTATATGCTCTCCTTGTGTTATAGAAATTTGACTGCAAATCATGCTAGAAATCATGCTTAGGCTTTGTGATGACATTGTTGGGACCCGAAGAGGTCGTGTACTTGTTGAATTATTTGTTAATTGTTGTCTTGTACTCAGTCACGGTTATGCTTGCGTATCATATCTCAGTCTTTTCTTGTTTCTTATTGATACATTATATTATCTCTGTTTGGGCTGATTTTATTTATTTCTGAGAGCCCGAGAGACTAGAGAGGTTGGTGACTGAGTTAGGGCCTGATTGCCGAGCTGAGATCTATATGTATATATGGATCAGGTTGCACGCTGCAACGAGCCTGGGGGCTATATCTATATGGAACGGGATGCACGCCCCAACGAGCCTTAGCGCTGTATATATATATATATATATANCTATTTATACATTATGAGATCGGGTTGCACGTCGCAACGATATAACGTTTGGGCTGAAGGAGCCCCTCCGGAGTCTATACACCCCTAGTGAACGCATGTACCTATTGAGTGTGGGTGTTGAGGGCTAAGAGCCGAGTGATGAGCTATTTAGAAAGAATGAGTGATTGTTGCCCTGAGAGGCTGTATTTGCTTTCATTGTTGTTGCTCATACCTACTTTATGTCACTATTATGAAACTTCTGGGAGATATTATATCCGGTTGTTACTTGAACTGGAATGTATAAACTAATTTGACTTAATTGCTGGATTTGAAAGCATGTCTACTTTCTTGTTGAGATTACTGAAAATGAACTATAGTTGTGTAGCTCGTTACTAGCTTTCAGTTCCTTATTTATTGTTGTTACTTACTGAGTTGGTTGTATTCATGCTACACCTTGCACTTTGTGTGCAAATATTGGTATTTTTGGATACGGTGGGCATTGATATCGTGCATAGTTGACCTTCGAAGATTTACGAGGTAGCTGCCCGGCGTTCACAGTCCCTGTTTCTCCTCCCTCATCTTTCTCTTATTTGTATTTAATCTAGACTTTTTTAGACATTTATTTTTTAGACTGGTGATGTATAAATGCTCATGAGCTTAGCGACACCCTGATTTGGATGCTATTTTCCGCACTTGTGTTTTGGGTTTTTACCCCGTTTTATTAAAACTTTACTTATTTAAAATTTCTTGATTCATTTTCTCTTAAATGTTGGAAGTATTTTGGAAATGTCGGCTTGCCTAGTACCACGATAAGCGTCATCACGACTGGTTAGGATTTGGGTCGTGACATTAAATGACTATTACGGTAGAAGATTTACGGATGGTGGTTATAATTGGTGATTGTGGGTAGCATAAAGATATGAATGTTATAATTAAGAGGAGAGTGAAGATAATAATATGAGTATAAGTGTGTTTGCTAGGATAGAAGAAGACTTTTTTCAGTTAAAATTTCAATACTTCCATATTTTCCGGCGTAAAAAGGTTTTCTGATGATGAATTTTTCCCGAAATCTGAGTGTATTTTGATTTGTTTGTGAATAGATCATTCTGAGAGTATAATTTGTGTGTGAAAAGAATAGAAAAAGAAAGAAGAAAACCAAAATAAATGGAAGAAGAATAGTTAGACAAAATCGTCGGCGAGTGAATGTCTTTCAGAAGTTGAGTAGAAACGAATAAATTAAGGAAGTAAAAGAAAAAGACAAAGAAAAACGAAAAGGAAAAAAAGGGGAAAAAGTAAGAAATTATAGATCTCACTAAAAAAAAAAAAAA